CCCTACCCCGGCTTTGCCCCCGGGGGCCCCCGCCTGACAACCCTGGCGTTAACAAGAACGTGTACTCGTCCGACTTTTACAGCCACGTTCTCGATAATTCCTACGATGTTCATTGCCTCCTCGTCGGCAGAGACATAATTGTCTTTGCCAGATTGGGGAAGAATGGATCCAAGTCGTCCCGTCTTTTTGATAGTATCCAACGATATGACCACGACAGAAGACCCTGTGTCAATAAGGGCATTAAACGGCTTGCCCCAAACTTCGCAGTCAAATTTCGCACTTTTCCACAATACCGGCCGAGCTCGTACGAAGTGATCTTTTTCTGCTAAGGAGATCGCTGCTATACGTGCGGCTTCGGGTTCAGGTTCTTTCGTGTCAGGCTCGGGGGGTGCAACTTCCTCGCTTCCTTGCTTCTTCTTCAACATCCGTTGTATGAGCTGATAGGTAAAGCGCTTTTGATTTTTCTGGCAATGGTGTAAAAGTTTATCATTCGCCGTTTCAGATATGGTGAGCAGATGTCCCACCGGGATCGGAACACGAATATCTAGTTGTTTGAGTGCTTGTAGCACGTCAATCTTTCCTGTTCGCAACTGCGGACCAGGATTGGATTCGCGATCGACCCATTCAAGATCATCAGGGGCCGATCGGATTGCTCCGACCATGCCTGCAAGATGAAGATATTAGAGTGGATCGACCTTGTCCGCAGAGTAAGAGGGAGAAAGTCCTAATGTCGTCGCCATTGTCGTCAAGGGGGAAGGCTGCTCTGAGGCATATGCCACGAGCTCTCCTCCCTGGGCTGTATCCATCAAAGCGGTCACTCGTCCTTGATTCAGGGCCACGGGGGCCGCCGTAGGTGGGGGCTGACTACGTTTTCGCTGCGGTCAGTCTCAGGCGAAATGTCCGGGCTGTTTGCAGTTAAAACACTCGATCTTTCCGGTTGGATTGGCTAGGTGAGGGAACTGAGGTGCGTACTCTGGAGCAGGCGGGGCAGGTAAGAGCGGAAATGATGCGGGGGTCGGCCGAGCAAAGGGCGTGTTAGGCTTGATTAGCCTACTCATTATCAGTTTCATCCGTTCCATGTGAGCGGCTTGCATTTGGATCAAGTTGCTCATCCATTCGGACAGCTTGGTAGTGGCCGTATGGATCATCTGGGCAAGGTGTAAGTTGGTTATGGCCGGCGAGGAGGGATCGGGTGAGATTCCGCTTTTAACGACTGCGATCGATTGATTCACCGGGGGAGAGGAAGAAGAAGCAGGCGGGGTATCGGAAACGATCCCGCCGAGAAGGTCATGCTCTGGGCGGGGATAAAACTGTTCGACGGCTTGCAGCCATGATCGCCTTTTAGCCGTTACATCCTGTATGGTATCTGTAATGTCTTCGTCTCCCTGGCTGATATACTTTTTTGTATCAGCCAGTTCCAGTTCCAATGCTTTAGTGATGATAACCGATAACTGGTGTGTTTTCGACGGGACCTTTTTCTGTAGTTTGCCTTTCAATGTAGGACTTCGTAGGTGGTCAATGAAGAAATCTCGAGCGGATTTCTCGTCTCGCCCGTATTTGTCCAGCGTGGTTTGAAATCGATCGACGAAATCGGGTAACAATTCCCCTGGTTCTTGTGGCCGATTTTTTAGCACGTACCAGGCGGCATCTTCACTGACCGTATCGAATCGAGCCAGGAAGGCTTGCTTGAAAGTATCCCAATCTACCCACGTATGTTTTCTAAACCAGTCATGCGACGTATTGCGGAGTAGCAATGTCAGAACGCGAGGAAGATCGGCTGCGCTGTAGTTTTGAGCTTCTACAGCTTCCAGCCAAGCCTCGGGATGGGTGTGATTCGGGAAGAATGGGAAGGGGGCTGGGATACTAACGATCACCCTAGTACCGTCCACCATTGGTGCTGCGGGTGCCGCCGCACCAGACTGAGACTGGGTCACTGGGCGATCCCGACGAGCTAGTTGAGGGCCTCTCCTACCTCTCGCCACGCTGCTCGCACCCCGCCACCGCACCCCCACTGCCCCGCACACCGCCGCCGCACCACGACCCCCGCTGCCCCGCACCACGCCGACTGACCCCCGCTGTCCCGAACCCCGCGAACGCACCCCCGACCACAG